GGCTCAGGCAATCCACTCGCCTCGGTCTCCCAAAGTGTTGGGATTACAGGCTGAGCCACCGAGCCCGGCCTCTTTTTTATTTTTTAGAGACGGGATCTCACTCTGTCATCCAAGCTGGAGTGCAGTGGCGAGGTCACAGCTCACTGCCGCCTAGAACTCCTGGGCTCAACTGGTCCTCCCGTCTCAGCCTCCCGAGTGACTGGGACTTCAGGCACATGCCACGGTTCCCTCTAATTTTTTTTTTTATTTTGAGTTGGAGACTCACTCTGTCGCCCAGACTGGAGTGCAGTGGCCGCTCCCGGCCACCGCAGCCTCGACCTGCTGGGCTCCGGTGGTCCTTCCGCCTAGGCCTTCCAAGGAGCCGGAACTACAGGCGCGCGCTGCCATACCCGGCTGATTATTTTGATTTACTGTAGAGATGAGGTCTCGCTGCCCAGGTGGGTCTTGAACCCGCGGGCTCAGGCAGTCCACTCACCTCAGCCTCCCAAAGGCTCAGGATTACAGGCTGAGCCACCGAGTCCGGCAGATTTATCATTCTTAATTTATTTTTTCACAATATATTTTGTCATTTATTTTTTCTGTTTAAAGTTGTGGGGTACAATTCAGGGTTTGGTATACAAATGATCATTGTGTAGGTAAAGTTTGAGTCTCACTTTGATCTCCACTTCACCTGGTTTGAGATCAGGTACACTTTTTTTTTTTGGTAGCGAGGTAGCTCTTTTAATTTCATTCTTGCAAGAAAGGGTGCCTCTCAGGTGAGCAGGCGTGAGATCAGGTATTCTTATTGATGAGGTGTGCCCCTCACCCTCCCCTGGCAGTTTCCCACTACTGCAAATCCCTTTCCTATAGTATTATGATAATTGTTCAGGGTCCGCTTATGAGTGAGAACATGTGGTGCTCAGCTCTTTGTTTTTGTGATAGATCACTCAGTATTATAGTTCATCCTAGTTGCTGCAAGGTTCATAATCTTGTCCTTCTTTATGGCTGCATAATACTCCATTGCTGATATGTGCAGTTCTAATTTATTCGTGCAACATGCCTCAGTTCTCTTTTCTTGAAATATTTGCCAACACTTTATTCATTGATCAGTAGTGAGGTATACTCTCACTTAACGTGTTCAGTAGTTCTCGTATTTCTATGGGGAATTAAGAATTTTCCTTATTTCTTCTGGATACTATTATATAATTGACTAATGTTTTCACATATGATGGGCCATAGTTAATCATTCTTCAGTTATTTTTAATGACTTATATTCAGGTTTTGTTTGTTTTCTGACATACCAGTAACCGTTAACATCAAGTTTAAAATGTGACAGGAATTATGTTTTTCTGGTAAGTGTAAAGAAGTTTACAATTCTATGGAAAGCAAATGCTAAGTTCTTGCCTGTGAGTTTGTATATGATTTCATATGTTGTCTTCCTTTCCTTTTGTCTTTAAAGCAGACTGATAGATTTAAATTTTTTTTGTTTTATGTAGAGAAAAGAGCAGAGATCGTGAAAGGGAACGGGAGCGGGAAAGAGAGAGAGAACGAGAACGAGAGCGAGAAAGAGAACGGGAGCGAGAGAGAGAGCGAGAGCGGGAACGGGAGAGAGAGAGGGAAAAAGACAAGAAACGTGACCGAGAGGAAGATGAGGAAGATGCATATGAACGAAGGAAACTTGAAAGAAAACTCCGAGAGAAGGAAGCAGCTTATCAAGAGGTAAATTGAGCAAATGGCTTTTCTTAAAGCTTAGTATACTTAGTAGCTTAGTCAAAATTGATAAAACCCTTTGTATACATTTTTAAAGCTTTGAACTTTCATTTTTAGCGTCTTAAGAATTGGGAAATCAGAGAACGGAAGAAAACCCGGGAATATGAAAAAGAAGCTGAAAGAGAAGAAGAAAGAAGAAGAGAAATGGTAAGATTCTAGGTTACAAAAAAGGTTAAAATCAAATCAGCCGGGCACAGTGGCTCATGCCTGTAATCCCAGCACTTTGGGAGGCTGAGGCGAGAGGATTGCCTGAGCCCAGAGGTTTGAGACCAGCCCGGGCAACTTGGTGTGAGACCTTATCTCTACAATAAATCAAACAGTTAGCTGGGCATCGTGGTACACGGCTATAGTGTCGGCTACTTGAAGTGCTGAGACGGAAGGATTGCCAGAGTTCAGCAGGTCAAGGCTGCCGTGGTCGTGCCACTGTACTCCAGTATGGGACAGAGTGAGAGTCCTACTCAACAAAAACCCCAAAATTAAATCAAAGTTTTACTGTTACATATAAGTAACTTTATAGTTAAAGTGTACAGACTTTGTGGATAATTTAATTTTTGTGTATTCAAAGCAATCTTGAGATAATTTCAGTACACTGTAATGTCTTTTTCCTCCTGTTTTTTATATTTTTGCTGCCTATAAACAAAATTATCCTTTTGCATGCTATCAAAGTACGTTTGCCACAAAGTAATTTTTAAACTGAGACTTTAGAGAACATTTTTTGATCGAGAACTCTCAAAATTATGGAGTTGATGCAGCACATTTAGATGAAGCAAATAGTACGAGAACAACTTTTTATAAATCAGTATTATTGCTTCCGTATATTATAACATTTATGAATGAGTTTTAAAAATTCTACAATGCTGTCCTGTTTTTCTTCTAAGTTACATGATAATCTTAAAATGAATTTTGCTTTTTGCATTTAGACTGTTGATAAACTATAATAGTGAAGCAATTGGCATAGGTTATTAAGTAGAATGATAAAAAGATAATTTGTTTAATCGTAGTATTTGCTTCAGTAGTGTATTTATTCCCTTTGTTACATTTTTGTAAGAATTTCATGAAGGTTTTTATCTCCAGTTTGGAGGTTATTCTTCCAAAAATTTCACTGAAGCTAGGAATCTTCCTCAAATAGTTTCCAACAGGAGGCATAGAGGGAATTTTTGTGATTAGCCAAAAGGGTGCATGTAGCGACTAGATAAGATAGTATCATAGTATGGGTTTTTCAGATATTAAATCCTGTAATGTCATAGAATTATTTAAAACAATTTTAACTTTTTAAAAATTAAATTAAAAATGGGATTATAGCTACTATTCTGAAATTTTTTTATCCCTGGATTAGAAAATAGGAAGAGATGCTAGTCATGGTGGCTCATGCCTATAATAATCCCAACACTTTGGGAGGCTGAGGTGCGAGCATTGCCTGAGTCCAGGGGTTCAAGACCAGCCTGGGCAACTTAGTGGACCTCGTCTGTATAATAAATCAAGAAAAATTAGCTAGGCGTGGTCATACACACCTCTAGTTCCAGCTGCTTGGAATACTGATGTACAAGGATCCCCTGAGCCTAGTGGATCGAGGTTGCGGTGGCTATGAGCATGCCACTGTACCCTAGCCTTGTTTAAAGAATGAGATTCTGACTCAAAAAAAAGGGAAAAGAAATTAGGAAGATAATACTGTAGTAAGATATAATTATTTGAAGATATGCCATCTAGGATGATTGTGAAATAAGCCTAAAACAATTCTCCTTTCTGTGAGCAAATCCGGAACACACTTTTCTTGAGAAACATTTTATTTTGTTTGGAAACTTTAAAAATTGTTGCTTCTTTATGTTCAGATAACAGAAGTAAGGAGGAAAATGTGGCGGCTTCTCCACATCTTCTCAAGATTAGTAGATTCTATTTCTGCTTTACCGTGACCTTGTGACCTTCCTGTGTATCCATAGTTTCTGACTGAAAATATTTTGAACACTGTCATTTGTAAACATCTGACGACCTACTTCCATAGATTTGACAGATTTTGAGTGTATGTTATGTCCCAGCATATCTTGATACTGGGCATACAAAAATGACTAGATGATACTAATTTTGAAATACATGAGCAGTGGAGTGAGGATAAGGTAGTTACTGGAAGGAGTAGCATATATTTATGAAGCCTTAAAGGTGTGTTCACAGTATTTGGGGAGTTAAGAGAAAGAATCCTAATTCTGCCTGGAGCAGGTGCTTGCTCACAGATAGATGGTTAAGTTGGGGGGGTGTCTTTGTAAAGAGATAACTTTTGAACTGAGTGAAATTTTGTTAATTTTACTGTAGTCAGAAATCTACCATTATCTGCTTGGATATAATAGTTGTATTTGAAATTCCAAAAATATGAGTAAGATTCCTGTAATTTCATGATTTGTTTCCTATCAGTTTAATGATAGGTTGCATTACCTTTAGATTGATTCATGAGTTATTGTTTTTTTATTTTTGAGTTAGAGTCTCACTCCATCGCTCAGGCTGGAGTGCAGTGGCACGCTCACAGCCACCCCAGCGTCAACCTGCTGGGCTCTGTGATCCTTTTGCCTCAGCCTTCTAAGTAGCCGGAACCACAGGCGCGCGCTATCACGCCTGGCTAATTTTTGTGATTTATTGTAGAGACGAGGTCTCACCGTGTTGCCCAGGCTGGTCTTGAATCCACAAGCTCAGGCAGTCCTCTCTCCTCAGCCTCCCAAAGTACTGAGATTAGAGGTTTGAACCACCGTGTCTGGCCGATTCATGAATTATTTCAATATTTTTATATTTGGAGTCTTTCACCCAGGCTGGAGTATTCAATTTTTAATTCTCCGTATTTAATTAATTAATTAATTAATTCTGCGTATTACTATTTCTTGCAATGTCATCTTTTTATAGGATGGAATTTAAAATATTTTTTCATTTAATAAGATAACCTTCAGTTATATTTCCCGGTATTCTCATATTTCATTAGAAAATAATTAGTTACTTTGAAGGTTATATTCAGAGAGAATATTCATTGTAGCATCATGGATACGTCCTTTTTTTTTTTAATATTAGAAAATGCAGTTTATTTAGAAACTAAATTAGAGAAAGAGCAAATTCACCTCCCTAAGGTAGGGGAGGGAGCCAAAGCTAGGCAACATGGCAACGGTCATAGCTCAAAGAGCACATGACCACACCAGTCTATTAAAGCAGTGACCCACAGATAAGTTCTTAATCAACCTTGTTTTACAGGTAAAAGTTTTAAAATGTCTAATGTGATTTATACGTAATATTAATATATGAAATATATGAGAACTATAAAGTTTTAGTAGTATGAATAAGAAAATTGTTTCCAAGAATGGGGAAGGAGGTGGTGATATGAATACTTTTATGTTAACTTTACACATTTTGTCCTTCATTTCCTCAAAGGCCAAAGAAGCCAAGCGACTAAAAGAATTCTTAGAAGACTATGATGATGATAGAGATGACCCCAAGTATTACAGGTGAAGAAGCCCGTTCTTCGAGGTCTTGATTAGCTCTGCTTTCCCTCATCTCTGGGGAGTGCAGGTTCACCATGTGGAATATGAAAGCAAGAAGCCTTTACCTGCATCTTTGTTGCTTCCAGGCTGATAGACTGTTTTCTGTGGGGGGAAGAGTCATCTATATCTGCAGCAGTTCCATGCATCTCTTCTCGGGTGGGGGGAAAGCCCATGAGTGTATTTTATCAATACTATTTTTTCCTTCATGAGTTATAAATAGGTTCAATTTTACAGCACATTATATACCACGTCTGTTGGTATGTCTAGCATTGGTATATCAAAGTCTAACTTCCGTTTCCTCACTCTTGCTTACTTTGGTATGTTATTGTGAATGAGAGTAAGGACACCTGCCTCCTTATGTTTCTGCGGTGTTTCTAAATTGTTCCCAGCCTAGCATTTATGGCATTATGGTAAAAGTGTTTGTTTCGTTCTACTACATTTCTTCTGATCTGTAAGTTCCTTGAGGATATGGACAATGCTGTGATACCATTTTTTTTTTTTTTTTTGAGTTGGATTCTCACTCTGTCGCCTAGACTGGAGTGCAGTGGCACGCTCTCGGCCACCGCAGCCTTGACCTGCTGGGCTGTGGCAATCCTTCCGCCTCAGCCTTCCAAGTAACTGTAACTACAGGCGCACACACTTCCCCACCCGGCTAGTTTTTTGATTTATTGTAGAGATGAGGTCTCGCCAAGTTGCCCAGGCGGGTCTCAAACCCGCGGACTCAGGCAGTCTACTCACCTCAGCCTCCCAAAGCGCGGAATTACAGGCTGAGCCACCGAGCCTGGCTTGTGATACCATTTTGTCTCTAGTTTGTTTGACATGATATAGTCATAATGACACTTAATATGTAATTAAATTCAATATAGTTTATAGCCAAAATATTTGAAACTTTGAAATTGGCAGCTTAAATTGAAAGAGTGCCAAGGGTTTGCCTTTTTAGAAAATGTCACGAAATCAGTATGACTACTGAAGTCTAGAAACATTAAATGGCAGTACATAATTTCATTATTTCTGTGACATAGTGAATTGCCAGGTGTTCATTATGGAGAGAACTTCTGCTTTTTGTTGATTCTGCACTATTCTCTGGTGTATTTCTACCAGGGAAAGAATTAATTTAAATTGAAGTTGCAGAGCTATTTGTAGTTATATTAATGCTATGTATATTGTTTTCCCACAGCTTGGCATCTAAGAAAATGCAAATTATATATTGGGAATTGGAATAAACACAAAATGTGAGCTCTCATTCCTGAAGCTGCCTTTTTACTTGTTTGGACACTTATTAGAATGATTTTAAGAATGAAGGAAGTATAGTGATGAGCAGTGAACAGTGCTTGGTGATTACATGTAGACCATGTCGAGAGCATGTCTTGGGTGCTCTGTAGATAGGGAACATTCAAACAGTCTTTAATCTCAGCACACAGCTTTCAGTATTGAAAACAATGGTCAGTGATCTGAGTACTCAGGGAGTCCTGTTACTTTTGCAGGGGAAGTGCTCTTCAGAAAAGGTTACGAGACAGAGAAAAGGAGATGGAAGCAGATGAGCGGGATAGAAAGAGAGAGAAGGAAGAGCTTGAGGAAATCAGGCAGCGCCTTCTGGCTGAAGGACACCCGGATCCGGATGCAGAGCTCCAGAGGGTAAGATACTAGACTAGTCACTTTGTTTTTAAAATTATCATGGCATCTACCAAGTGTTAGATAGGCTAATTTATAGTTAAGAGAAATACACTTTATGCCTCATGGAACTTGGTATTTTATGGAAGGTTATTAGTATTTGTATTTTTATTACACAAATTGTCAGTATTAGCTGATTTTACAACTTCATTGTAAGTATCTTTTAAAAAAAACTTGCATTGTTAAGTATCTTGCAGATTATTCTTTTGTTTTCTATGTATGTCTTTTCAATTTTGCTAGATACTTGGCCTTCCTTTAATATGCTTTGACATTTGATGAATGACTTTTTTTTTTTTTTTTTGGTGAGAAAGCAGGAGTTTATTAAGAATACAGAAAAGGAAGGGCTCGGCGACTCAGCCTGTAATCCCAGCAGTTTGGGAGGCTGAGGTGAGTGGATTGCCTGAGCCAGCAGGTTCAAGACCAGCCTGGGCAACTTGGTGAGACCTCATTTCTACAATAATTTTTTAAAAATTTAGCTGGGCATGGTAGCGCGAGCCTGTAATTCCAGTGACTTGGAAGGCTGAGTCGGAAGGATCACCAGAGCCCAGCAGGTCGATGCTTGGGTGGCTGTGTGTGTATCACTGCACTCCAGCCA